TTATTTAAATATAAAGGCACACTAATCGGGACAGGCACACTAATAGGGACAGTTACCCTATTCGTAATTTGTATCACTTATTCCGTGTATCACATAAATCACTGTTAATCACAGCGAGTTGCGCAGTCCCTGCCTATCTTATATCCGACTACTCGTGGTAAGTAACCTATTTTTATTAATAACTCAAAAAGTAAGCTTCAGACAAAATTTTGTCCAATAAAAAGTTGTTTTAGAATTTAGTCAAGCATACGTATTTTCAAGGATAGCGGGTTGTTCTGAACCACCCTGTGTATCGTGTAATTTCTTGACATGTGATAAGACTCTGTTGCTTTCTAAAACATGAAAAAAATGCCAGCAACGTTTTGTCGCTCTGCACACGTTGCAATCATAGTTTTTTTTAAATAAACAGAGACGTTCCGATCAGAAACGTTGATCATAGACATATCAAAGTCGTTCTACACTGTTCAAAGAACGACAATACCTGTAGCCGACGAAAACTCGTTCTGTTTCGCACATTTCTTCTACCAGAAAGTCTCATTCCACTCTACAGCCATTGGCTCCCAGCAGGCGAAAGGAGTCATCCTACACCGAGTTAAAAGAGAGAAGAGAATCCTGCTGCGCAGGAGAAGAAAAGCAAACAAAGTAGGGATAGGTGTTGCGTGCGGAATTGGCGAGATACTCACCGACAGCCAATGGCTGAAAAGTGGGAGGGCTTTCTAGTTAGAGGAGATGCGCAAAACGGAGGAGTTCTTGTCCATCCGGGGTATTCCAGATTTTCTTTCGTTAAACTCAGTGTATCGTGTATCTCGTGTCAAATTGTGTCGCTAAATGGAAGCGTCTTCGAAATTAGTCGTTCCTGACCTAGTTTCTCAGCAGCTGTTATTTTTTCTTGCAGTTTTTTCTTCCATTATTTTAAAATCATCTATATTTCTTTATGCATAAGATTTTTAGGTTTTTTACGTCAAGATTTGATAAATATAAATTGGTCACATATAGTTACTTTATTTCATTATACATAAACTAGTAGATGAAGAAAATATGCTTATTAATAGCACTTCAGATGTCACTTGATCAAATTATAATACATCAACGTACTACATTTGTTATAGAAGTAACTTTTATTAAAATTAGTGTTTTAATTGTCTA